TCTTTGGCTTAATGTTTTTTCTTTATTTTTTTTTTAATGCGGATTAAATTTGTATCACAGACATTCTTACTGAGTGTCCTGCAGAAAAAAACATAGCAAAACTCAATGTGAGTCAGTATAGAAGGGGAGGAATATGAAAGAATTATGAAGTTAAATTTTATTTAAAAATCTTCATTGTCTACACATTCTCCCATTGAGTTGTGCTACCTGAGTTCCTACAGTCCCTAATTGTTTTTAAAACAAAAGAAAGGGTTTAGAGTTGTCTCCTCTGCAGTTACTCAGTGACCAATATTACTCATCAAACTGAAGAGATTACAGTTTTCTAACATCATATGCAGGGTTTCTTTGAAAATTTCTTTTACGTGTAAACAAATTATCAGGTACTCTGCAGCTTTCACTGAGCTTAAAAAGCACTTGGAGCATATTGCTACCATTACCAGCTAACACTGTAATTTTGTCACATTATGTGAATAGGCAATGAAGATTAACTGTGTACAATTAATTGTAATTACTTTTAAATACTACTTGTTAAATTATTATGTAGCTAAAGGGAAAAGTAACTTTAATGAGAAACAATTCAGGAATCTACTTCCTATATGTAAAGACTTTTTAAGTATTTTCCTTAAAGTGCAACTTTTTTTTCTATTTATTTCCTTATTAATTATTAACAGAGTGATTAGGGGCTACTCCAGGTCTACATTTTCTTCATTTTCCTCTTTATGGTTTAAGTGTTGCTTTGAAGCACCGAAAATTCTGCAATCATGATTCACACATTTGTTGGTGACAATGTTAGTGAACCACACTTTGGAAATAATAGTTGCAGAAAAAATGGAGCAGAAATTGGATGATCTGTTTTAACTAACTTGGCCTCAAACTCCTGTAATGACTATAAATTGGTAACTGCTTTCTTCTGACAAAGTACTGTCAGCTATTTTCCAAGTCCCCAGATCTCGCAGGTCCTCATCATCTGGTTAAAGCAGAACCTTGTATAACAGCTTGGTCACTATAGCCTTATCTCTTTATATAACAGTGGGTATGCAACCATCACAAAACCACTTAATGATCTGCAGCTCCTAATCCCCTGATTCATTCTTCATCCTTATCTAATAGCCTTTCCTTGCCAAGAGTCTCCCCCCTCGCCCTGTGACAAACGCCAGCTTTGTTTACTTCTTAGGAAGAGGCTCTCCAAGCCTCAAACTGCAGTATCAGACCTTAGGGATATGCCAAAGTAATAGAGTCACAAGTAGCTCTGTATTTCTTCATTAATGCATATGCAACATTTGAGGAGCAGCTGAAAGTCTTCAGAAGCAAAAAGAAAGCAAGGAAGTGGGGGAAGATGAAATGGAGTGAAATTAATCCTCCTTAAGGTTTCTGCGGGTGGAGAAAGCAGCGCTATATTTGAAATGGGGTCTATGGAGAAAGAGAGAAGCACACAGGATTAGCTATAAATTTCACAGTTATTCTGAGCTGTTGTAATCTGCTGTTTGACCTGTGCCTCCTCCCTCTGCCCTATGAGGTTTAAGTAGTATTCTGAAAGACAGGGTCTGGGGAGGAAAGGTGGCTTAATGTCCCTTGGTTTGAAATGCCTAGACCGTCTACATTTGCACACTTGTTCATCTTTATAAAGCCTGTTGAGCTATTCTCCTGGTGTCAGGCTGAGTTTAGAGATTTTTCAGGAGCAAATCCAAAAACAAGACACTGCTTATTGTGTATAGACTCTTAGCAGAGTCCTCAGTACTCCAAGTAAGACAATGAGTTCAATTATCATAGGGTTCTGCGGGGACAGAAATCTGCTCTTTCCACATGCTCTGCCGTGGTGTGCTGTGGGAGGTGGGTGGCTCGCTGTCACAGTAGCACCACATCGACACGGTTAGGAACTCACGTTCAGGTAAGGGCTAGGAAGTCAAAACGCCGCGTTCAGATCGTGCCGGCAGAACCGTGAATTACCGTGCCGTTTGAGGTCAGCTGTGTATCCACAGCTGACAAGTCAATTATTTTTAATCTGTATTCAAATAGCTTGAAGCCGTGGGAGTTTTTTAAGGACCTGTGAAGATTAGCAATGCTGTTTTGGGAACAGAAGGATAATGCCCTCCTACAGCTCCAGGCTGGGGTATTAATTGCTGTTGTGTAACCCTGTGGTCCTTCACTGCCTGGCTTTGCCCTCACAGGACGCACAACCCCGTCCTCACCAAACATAAGCAAGTAGTCTCCAGAAACTGCACATAGGCTGACATTCTGAAGCAAAACATCTCATGAAAGGATAAAATCAAATTGCGTTCTCCTCAGGAGATCCAGTAACTAATGAACAACTGAAATGGGGCCTGGGACCTGGGCAGGGGCAGTCAGGGCTGATCGTGCACTCAGGGCCGTGAGGATCAGATTGTTATCTATGGTAATTTCTTCTTCCAGTTTTGGAACCTTCTTTTGTCTTGTTTTGTGCATGAAACTGTTCCACGCAGCTTAAAAAATCACTCATCAGTGAAAGTAAAACAAACTACAAAAACACATCATCGAAGGGCACAAACACATGCACAACAACAATGCATCCTTAAGTTTTTAGTTCATCTGGTCAAGCCATTAAGAGACTAAAAAAAAGTATGTATTTCTATTACGTCTACTATACTGAGCGCAAAGTCCAGAAGACTTTGGGGAACATAAAAGAAGTTCTGAACCCACTTTTTGGTATCTCTCTGGCCCACTCCTCAGAACCGCATTAGGAGATTCCTGCCTCCCTATTTTACACCATATCCAGAGGAGGTACGCTATGACCTTACCCCAGCTGGCTCTCCACTTTTGGGCAGGGAAGGGAGCAGGACGTCACCGCCCCTCCTTTCTACCTACAATGCATGGGTTTTGGTGTAGAGGAAAAACAGTACATTTCTCATCAATGCTTTTCTGCAATGCTTCTGGTTCCACATCATGTAGATAAACATGTCTGCCTTCTCAGTATTTCTGTTTCTGGTGCGCTGGCTACCAAGGTTACCATGTTGCCAATGGTCTTTGCATGTCTAGAGAATGTGTCTGGGGCTTTTCTGGCAACTACAATTTCTCTGAGGTGTTTTTCAGAGGTAGACGTTTTCTGACCTTGGACTTCAGCCCTCTCCTGCTTGGGACAGGCCAAATGATCCACCAGATCAGAATTACATACCCAAACATATTAAGCTGATTATTACGTTGTCCAGACTTCTGATATTTTGTCAGACCAACAACAGTGACACAAAGACATAAGAAGAAAGCAAACAAAATACTACTTTCCAAAATCCAAATGTAAAGCAGAAAGAAGAAAATTAATCTGGTCATAGACATCCAGTAAGCTTAAAATTAATCTGTAGTTTCAAGAAGTAGTATGAAATGCAATAAACTTGCAGCAATGTGAAATGCATTTAACCACATTCTTAACAGATCTGTCAAATCAGATGATGGAAATGTAATCAGCAAAACAAACCTCACCCTCCAGTAATATACTTGATGAGATGCTTCTTGAAATAATACCTCCAAAACTGAAATTCAAGCTGGTGTGCCAAAAATAAGCATAAAGTTTGTGGTACACAATGTGTCATTTTTTGGTGAAGCATCTGCTTTTAATACTGGTCCTAATCTTGTTTGAAAACCACATGCAGTTACTGCCAAATTTCATTTAATCCCAAACAGTGGCTGAATGGTGCCTTTGCTTTTGCTGAGTTTGCTGTGATTGCAATTACAGTAAATCCAGCAACCACAGCAGAACCTGCGCAGAGAGTCTGTGAAGCAGTCATCAGTCTGCACCAGTTATGCATGCACCGTTTCTGCATGTACATTGAATCCAGTGCATATGAAACACTGAATTTACCTCTCAGGTGCCACTTTGCTGAAAAGCCTTGTGTAGGCACTACAAGTATGGCAATGAGTCACACTGCACCTCTACAGCACTTCTTTTCCTTTGGTCTAGTACAGTCTCAAGGACAGACTAATGTCTGCTGACCGGAAAATCTCAGCTGGCAAGACGTGTGTTGATATATGACAATAAAAATAAGTAACATGTGAAACCTACTGAATAGTCATCCAACCTTCTCTTCTCAACCACAGGCCATCTGAAAGTGATAACAGTCTTTCCCAGGTTTTCCAAGCGACTGGATTCTGACCAACGTAAAGATCACAAGATTAAATTTACCAGCTGTTAATTATTTTTTTAAGCACATGAGAAACAGTTAGAGCAAATACTCTCCAAAATCAGCAACTGTTTCTTCCATCCTCACCACATTTTTACAGAAACAAAGGAACTGTCATAGTGGCTTAGACTACCGGACATGGAGGCCTGTCCTTGACAGGTTTCCATCAGTAGCTTCAGAGAAGGAAGCAGAAAATAGGGAATTAAATCAATCTCAAATGCTGTTTCCCTATTAATATCCCCCAATCCTCACTATTTAGAAGCTAATTTACGACTTGAAGCTTTTCTGTCCCATGCAAAATATACTAGTCAGAGAGACCCAATGTTAATACGGATAAACCACAGTACCTGGGGTTCATGCCAGGTTATTGGTTGCCATGTACAACACTTACTACACAAACTCTGAGATAAGTAATACCTGGAACAGCTCTGCTGCACTGGAAATCATCCCTAGTTCTTCAGTACCTATATAAACATAAGGAACTCCACTGTAGGCATCTCATTAGTACCAAACCAGATATCCCAGACTCTCTTTTTCACATATGGACATCTACAAGAAAACTGTTTCTCTTCTTCTCAAAAAATGTCAATAATAATGTCTCAGAACAGATTTTCCCACATCACTACTGCCCTCAATTTCAGTGGAGAACAAAGCTGTCTGTGCTAACACCCCTTCCTACAGTGTTTCCAGTTGAGCACATCTTTTTTAAACACCACAGGAGATTTCTATGTTAAGGTGCTTTATAAATCAGTGTGTATTATAGTGCATTTGATGACCTGTTTCTGTGAAATTGCCAGAATGAACAGAAAACCAATGTTGTTAAATAGGTTTTTCTCTCTTTCTCTCTCTCAGGATGGATTTATAGACTTCTTGGAGTTCATAGCTGCAATAAATTTGGTCATACGAGGGAAAATTGACCAAAAATTGAAATGGTACTTTAAGCTATACGATGCTGATGGAAATGGATGTATTGACAAAAAAGAACTATTAAGCATATTCACGGTAAGCAAGTTATGACCAATAGCAAGGACATTTGACATAGCACATTGCCCGTGAAGTAGTGGTTCATCACATGTTGTAAATGGATTACCTGTACTTTACCTAATGTTTTACAGTTGTAAAACCAGAATTGTTCTCACTAGTGACACTTCTAACATTAGTTTCTCGCTTATTGAAGTAAACACGTATAAGTAGTATTTTACTTTAAACCATAGTTCCACAGATAAAATGCTTCACTGAAAGTGAAAAACTGTAGATACATTACTGTGATAAACTATACTATAAGGCAGTGTAGAACAGTAGCAACATAATGAATAAAACAGCTGGTTACAAGTGTTTGTGCCAGTCTGTTGTGGAAAACTGGCCCTCAAACTGAACTTGCTGCAAGAAACAATACAGATGACATAAAAATATTCCAATATTTTAATTTTTTAAAAGTTTTTCAGATTCCTTTACTGCAAATGCCATTAGCCCCATTTTAAAATTAAACTGGGAAAAATTAATTTTGTCATTAAACTATGCAGTGACATTTGGATACAAATATTGTAGAAAATTTTGCAGAAAATGGGTCCATTTCAAACCCGTAAAACCAAAGCAGTGTAATTCATTCTTCAAAATGATTTCTGCATTTTTCAGCTTGCTCTACTGAAATAATATTTTGCAATTCAGTAGCTGCTTTCATCCAAAAGTTATTACAGGATTCCTTGCAAATATTAATGACTTAATACTGTTCCCTAAATGTACAGGACTCATTACAGATCAAGGTTTTGCTGCAGGGAGCACAAAATCTAAATAGGTATTTAATGTCATAATAAACAAGGAACGTACTTTGCCTGGATTCTGTATTACTCCTGGTGTCTGGCTAGTCACTGCTAAGAGACTTTCAAGAGCCACTGCCCAAATTAAAAGGAACTGGAGCCAGATGGAGACATGGGGTCAAACAAATAAAACTGATGCACCACCTTCTGAAGAGCAGCTTTCTAAAGGTAGAAGAAGAGGCTGCATCTCCTAGATTTCTCCTCATTTGAGACTAATGATATCTTTCTTTTGCAGATATTATCCATCATTTTTCACCCAGAGACAATGAGGCAACTGTGTTTTGTCTTGGGCTTTATCCAAAAAGAGAATTAAAATCCTTCTAATATAAAGAAGATTTCTTTTTCAACTTACCTGGTTTTAAAAACAGTTTAAACCTCTGTGTGTTTTCTTCTCTTTCGGAGTTCAAGAGCTTTTAACTTAAACCTGCCTAGGTTTAAGTCATTTGACCTAGGCTAGATTAAAATCTGTAGGCTCTGAACAAAAATAAAAACACATGGCTCACAGCCATTAAGGGCCCTGCTTGTACTAAGCATCAGAAAACAAGGGCTTGTCCGAAAAAGTATTTAATATCCGAGACATTAATTTAAATCACTGAAGTCCATAGCATTGCACAGCCATGCAAACTTTGGACCAGCAGATCATTATCAACCATCAAAATTCCTTCCAGAGAACCATGCATGCTCTCAGTGCCTTTTAACAGCCCTGTCAGTAGCAAAAGGAAGGCTCAGTAACAAAAGGAAGGCTAGGGACAATGTGGGGCCGCTGCTGAATGAGGCGGGTGTCCTAGTGACGGAGGATGCAGAGAAGGCAGCGCTACTGAATGTCTTCTTTGCTTCAGTCTTCAGTGCCAAGGCAGGCCCTCAGGAATCCCAGGCCCCGGAGGTAAGAGTAGAAGCCCATAGAGAGGATGACTTTCCCTTGGTCGAGGAGGACTGGGTGAGGGATCGCTTAAGCGATCTGGATGCCCACAAATCCATGGGCCCCGATGGAATGCACCCACGAGTGCTGAGGGAGCTGGCGGATGTCATTGCTGAGCCACTCTCCATCATCTTTGAGAGGTCCTGGAGGACAGGAGAGGTGCCCGAGGACTGGAGAAAGGCCAATGTCACTCCAATCTTCAAAAAGGGCAAGAAGGAGGACCCAGGGAACTACAGGCCACTAAGCCTCACCTCCGTCCCGGGAAAGGTGATGGAGCAGCTTATCCTGGAGGCCATCATCAAGCAAGTGGAAGAAAAGAAGGTTATCAGGAGTAGTCAGCATGGATTCACCAAGGGGAAATCATGCCTGACCAACCTGATAGCTTTCTATGATGACATGACTGGCTGGGTAGACGAAGGGAGAGCCGTGGATGTTATCTACCTTGACTTCAGCAAGGCTTTCGACACAGTCGCCCATAATATCCTCCTGGGGAAGCTGAGGAAGTGTGGGCTGGATGAGTGGTCGGTGAAGTGGATAGAGAACTGGCTGAATGGCAGAACTCAGAGGGCTGTCATCAGCGGCGCTGAGTCTGGTTGGAGGCCGGGAACTGGTGGTGTCCCCCAGGCATCAGTACTGGGCCCAGTCTTGTTTAACTTCTTCATCAACGACCTGAATGAAGAGTTAGAATGTACCCTCAGCAAGTTGGCTGATGACACCAAAC